ACTTGGTAGTCCAGGCTGGCCTCGAACTCACAGAGATCCACCTGGCTCTGCCTCCCGAGTGCTGGGATTAAAGGCGTGCACCACCACCGCCTGGCAAAGGATCCATTTTTTTAAAAAGTACACAAATATACTGAGGACACTTTTATGTTAAAGCTTTATTTATTGCTATTTAATATGTATGTGTGCTTGCATATATGTTTGTATGTATGTCTGTCTGTATATATGTATGTATGTGTGCCTGGTGCCCTCAGAGGCCAGAAGATGTCAGATCCTGAAACTGCAGATAAGGATGGTTGTGAGCCACCAAGTGGGTGCTGGGTACCACACCCAGGTCAGCAAGATCAGCAAGTGCTCTTAACATCTGAGTCATCACTGCAGTCCTTAATTTTATTTCAAACAATTTAATTATTTCAAAATAAAAGGTAGATGCAAAGAATAATATGCAACTATCAAACGTTTTATAATTCTGTTAAATATACTATTCTCTGATAGGAACAACAATATCCTTTATTTATAAATAAATATAAGCTTCTTCCATTGTTGAGCCCTTCATTCCAAGGCATGACCTCATAACCTTTATGCACTCACTCAACATTGAGAAACTCAATGATTCGGCCCTCAAGGAACTGTCAGTTTAGTATGAAGGTAAGAATATGGATATTACATCTTATTTTAGAAGAACACTATCATACTGCCTTATCCATTGTTAATATAAACATTATTTATTAAGTATTAAACAAGGAAGCATGTAAGCAACTTCAATTTCTAAAGCACCAGATAATTACAAAATTATAAAGGTAAACTAGTCCACATCATTCAAGAAGAATCTTCCAAAAAGATGGGGGTGGGTGATATGAAATAAAATTAAGAGTAAGCATCTACTGTGCCCTAGTGGGACGCATAGCATCTGGGAGGACAAAGTAGACATCCATGTCTATGTACATAAGTACGCATGAGCTCCCCCTGATGGGTTAAATTACCTTTGATTTTCTCTGACCTGTCTTCATCCATACTTTCTTCAAGATCCTGATCAACTGAAATGAACTTGAAGGACTTGTAGGATACAATCATTACACCGTTTCCATTGGGCTCAATAGCAGCATAATGCGGCACTGACTTGCCACGGAGAACACGACGCTTGGTAATTTCATACTTTTTACTATCTGCAGGAAAATAAGTATTATGAAAAGCTACATTTTAAAAAATCTTTTGGTAAGAATAAAAAATCAACAACTTACGGCCACCAAGGCAGCAGCACAGTGGGTAAAGGCTCTTGCCACCAAGCCTGATGGCAAGAATCTGATGGGCAAGACCCACATGGTGGGAGGACAGAACTGACTCCCATAACTGTCCTCTGCCCCCCCTCCTCTTTCTCTCTGTCTGTCTGTCTGTCTGTCTGTCTCTCTCTCTCTCTCTCTCACACAAACACCTGACAGTTTTACCTACCTCAAGTCCTACTTTAAAATACTGAAATTTTTGATGAAATTGACTCTCAATTGTACTGTCTAGTGCAGCAGCCACTTGCTGCAAATGGCTGTTAAAATGAAGTCCATTTTGAAGCTCACTACCTCAGTTACTTAGTCACATTCCAAGTGGCTGATCCCAGTGAATGACATACACAGCACATGTCTAACCTGCACATGTTTCATCTGGAGAACAAAGTCTAGACCTTCAAAGGGACTGACTACTTTCCCAGCAGGTATGTGACAGGCACCTTTTGAAAAGAGACACTAGCTTAGATCGAGGGGAAAAACATGGAATGAACTATTTTTCTCTTGTTTTAGCTAAGAGGGTTTCTAAAAATGAAATATTTTCAGAGCAATTGATTTTTATATACCAAGATAGAACTACATGATTATTATAATCAATAATGAAATAACAGAATTTAAAACCTTTACAATAAACACCAATTTAACTAAATTTTAAAGTTTTAATAAACTTATTCTCTTATGAAGACAGACTGTTTTCTACATACTCAAAACACTTCAGATAAAAGAACCACTCTCTACCCAGAACCCCACAGCCCCCACAGTTGGCTGGGACCCAGATCGTTCATTGCTCAACCCTTACGAGAGAATTAACACAGAGACCCACAACTGGACAGTGTGCAGACAGTGAGTGATGTTGGAGAACTCAGCCCTAAATGGGATGGCTATCAAACTTCTCCTTTTATGGCTCAAGGATTGTCTTGGTTAAGGTTTCTATTGTTGCGAAGGGACACCATGACCATGGTTATTCTTTTTTTTTGTTTTCAAGACAGGGTTTCTCTATGTAGTTTTGGTGCCTGTCCTGGATCTCTCTCTGTAGACCAGGCTGGTCTTGAACTCACAGAGATCCTCCTGGCTCTGCCTCCCTAGTGGTGGGATTAAAGGCGTGCGCCACCACCACCCTGCGACCATGATAATTCTTATAAAGGAAAACATTTCTTTGGGGCTCGCTTATAATTCAGAGCTTTAGTCCATCCATTATCACTATGGCATGCAGGCAGACATGGTGCTGGAGAAGGAGCTCAGAGTCCTCCATCGTGATCAGAATGCAACAGGAAGTGAACTGAGACACTGGTCATGGCTTGAACATATATAAGACCTCAAAGTCCAACCCTTCAGTGACACACTTCCTCCAAGGCCACACATACTCCAACAAGGCCACACTTCCTAATAGTGCTACTCCCTATGAGCTTATGGGGGTCAACTACATTCAAGCTACCATATTCCACTCCCTGGCTCCCATAAGCTTGCAACAATATAGCATTATGTAAAATGCATTTAGTCCAAGATCAAAATAGACCTATGGTCTATTACAGTCTTAACAATGCTTTAAAGTCCAAAGTTCAGTCTCTTCTGAGATTCACACAATCTCTCAAATGTAATCCCTTATAAAATAAAAATGAAATAACAAATCACACACTTCCAACATATAATTGCAGAGGATATTCATTACCATTCCAAAAGTAGGGAAGAGAGCATAAGGAGGAAATACTGGACCAAAGCAAGACTGAAAACCAGCTGGGCAAACTCCAAACTGCATCTCCATGTCTGATGTCAAAATTACTCTTCAGATCTCCAATTCTGTTCAGCTTTGTTGACTGCAACGCACTTCTTTCTCTTGGGCTGGTTCCACTCCCTGTTAGCATCTCTCCTTTGCAGATATCCCACGACTCCAGCCTCTCCAACATCTTGGGGTTTCCAAGGCAATCCAGGCTACAACTCACAACTCACAGAAAATGGCCTCTCTAGGCCTCCATTCAGGGATACCTATGACACATACCTGGCCTCAGCGGCTTTCCTTAGCTGCAGAGGAAGATTCCATGATGCCTTTCTTTTATCCTTGACTCTAGAACATGGCTGAAGCTGCAGAGTTCTGCTGCTTACTGGGCTGGAATATGGCCCCCTTGTTTAATTATATCTTCACTGGCTTTCTTTTTTCGAAGGTTACCTTCACGGCCTAAGCTTCACTATCCTGGAACTTGCTCTGTAGAACAGGCTAGTCTCAAACTCAGAGATCTGTCTGCCTTTGCGTTCCAAGTGCTGGGATTAAAGGCGGGTACTACCATACCTGGCTGTAAGCTTTTCTTTAATTCCTTTCCACAAATTGAAAACTTTGCTGGTTGGGATCTTGCCCTGAGGTTACCACTCCCTTTATTCCATTTCTTAATCTGTCTATCTCCTTGAACACAGGACTTAGCTCCATTCCTCTTCCTGGTGCTCCTTTTCTCCTCAAATTTTACACTTTCTATTTTTCCTTGCTCAGCTTGCTCCTTTTCATTATAAATCTTCATTAGATTTAACACTAAGAACCATACAATAGAATCCATACTAGGCTGTTTTTGAGATTTCCTCTGCCAATGGAACTAATTTAAAAAAAATTCACTTTAGTCTCAGGCAGACTCTTTAGACAAGGGCAAAAAGCAGACACATTCTTCACCAAAATATCACAAGAATGATCTCTAAGCCACACATTAACATTCTCCTCTGAAACCTCTTGAGTCAGGCTCCCACAGCTCAAACCACACTCAGAACCACTGTCTTCCATGCTCCTACTAGGATGGCCCATTAAGCAGTGCTCAAAGCATTCCACTGCTTTCTAATCCAAACTCCCAAAGTTCAAATTCCTCCAAACAAAAGCATAGCCAGACCTATCACAACAATAACGCAGTCCCTGGCACCAACTTCTGTCTTTAGGATTTCTATAGCAGTAAAGAGACACTATGACCACGGCAACTCTTATAAAGGAAAACATTTTAACTGGGTGGTTTACAGTTCAGAGGTTTAGTCCCTTATCATCATGGCAGGACATGGCAGCATGTAGGCAGACATGGTACTGGAGAAGGAAGGAGCTCCAAGTCCTCCATCGTGATCAGAATGCAATAGGAAGTGAACTCAGACACTGGTCGTGGCTTTAGTATATTTAAGACCTCAAATCCCACCCCCAGTGACACACTTCCTCCAACAAGGCCACACCTCCTAATAAGGCCACTCCCTATGAGCTTATGGGGGCCAATTACATTCAAACTACCACAGGGATCTATGCAGAAAATGAGGTGGAAAGATTGTAAAGGCCAGAGGTTGAGGATGACTTCAAGGAAGTAGAGTTATCTAGACAAAACAGGACTAATACACCTATGAACTCACAGCGACTGTGACAGCACACACAAGACTTGTACAAGTTCATGCCAGATAAAATTCTACCAAAAAGAAGTATAAGTGAAAGTGTATAAAAGTCCCACTATGAACTAGGAAGTAATTTGCATTTGATACCTCCTGGTAAAATGAAAATCAGTTTTCTCCAGTGCAGTATCACTGGGTATATAAGCACACCTCAGTGCAGACTTCATGCTTAGGAGTAGTTGACCAACAATTTGGTCCCCAGAATATACATTTAAAACACCAAATATGGTGTTTTTTGTGTGCTTTTTGTCTTTTTTGTTTAGTTTGTTTTCTTGTTTTAGGGTTCTTTTGGTTTTATGAGAGAGTGAAAGAACATGAAGTTGGGTAGGAAGGATATGGAAAGACTTGGGGAGGGGAATGAATATGATCAAAATATATTACACAAAAATTTTAAAAATAATAATGAGCCGGGCGGTGGTGGTGCACGCCTTTAATCCCAGCACTCGGGAGGCAGAGCCAGGCGGATCTCTGTGAGTTCGAGGCCAGCCTGGGCTACCAAGTGAGTCCCAGGAAAGGCGCAAAGCTACACAGAGAAACCCTGTCTCAAAAAACCAAAAAAAAATAATAATAATAATGAGAAATGCAAACATACAAGCAAACAAAAAAATCATTTCCTACTAATTTTTATAAGCTTAACACTATGTAGTTAAAAAAACAACTCATTGTTATGAATTAAATATAACAATACAATCTTCTGTAAAACATGTAATTATTTTTACTCTATATCCTCACCTATAGCCACACATTCAGTTCATAACTATTTAAGAACCAGCTTGACATTTCATGAATGAACTAAAAACTCCTATATTTCATCCACACAAACATGCATACCAAACAGTCCTACATTTCTTTCAAGACCCCAAACCAAGGATGATGTGTGGGAAAGTAAACAATAGTAAGTGTTAAGCAGTAGATTCCATGATTAAATTTTCTATTTTGCTAAATAAAACTGAAAAGCTTTAGCATTCTTAGTGTATTTGGGGGATGTTAAACATTTTCATTTTCCAACTTAACTGACAAAAAGATATAATTAATTTTATGTTCCCCTCAACATGGTTTAGAAAAGTACTGCTCTGTTTTGTTAGATTCGAACATCAAAAGGACTGGAAACACAGCTCAGCCCATTACGTGCTTACTCTGCAAACATGAGAATTTGACATTGGTCCCCAGAATGCACGTTTAAAAAGCCATGCACTAGAGAAGCAGAACAGGTTGTTACTGCCAACCAGTCTAGTCTACTTAGTGAGTTCCAGACTAGTGAGAAACACCATCTCAAAATACAAGGTGGACTGCATCTGGCCTCTACATGCACCTGAACACACACACACACACACACACACACACACACACACACACACACACACACACACACACGAGATGGGAAGGGGGGTTAAAATATGTTTTTAAAAAATTCTATTAGTAATAATTGGGGAAGGTAAGATATTAAAAAGAGCAGAGAAAGAATAAGAGAATTGCTGAATTCCACAAATAACAACCCTGGGTGAAAACAGAAAGGTAAATCTAAATGTGCCTGTTCAAATGAGGTAAGAGATGAAGAATGGGGCTGTGATGCCAGAGCTGCTGTGAAATCTACAGGCATCAGGTAAGTAACATGGACTGACCTGCAACTACAGAACCAAGTTTCTTGAACAGGGAGAAGGAAAATGCATGATGATTTCTTCTCTAAGAAGCTAAATCATATACAAAAAAAAAAAAAAAAAAAAAAGGACAAATAAACAGAAAACCACTTCTACTGTTTCCTTAAGTAGCAGTCTTCAAAGTACTACCTAGGAGCCAAAGCTGAATCTATTCCTGTATTTGAACAGTTTGAGGGTTAAGCATTACTTTTTCTTTCAAATGGTAGAGAATCAATCAAAAGAATATTTAAATATCTGTAACAATTCTGGTCACTCAAGCTTTAATGTCCCTAAGTATTTTAGAGCCCAGCTTACTCATGCCTTCATAAACTATCCACTGCTGTTTTCTTGTCGTAACAAAACAGGTGGATAGCTGTGACACAGACTGGATGGCTACCGTCTGGTCCTTTAAAGCAGTTTTTTTTTTCCCCCAACTCCTAAAATATAGTTACTGCTTTCCTATAGAGATGGAGATAAATGCTGTGAAAAACAAACGTAGAAGATTTATTCAGCTTAAGCATAAGCAATTCCATGTCAATATAGACATTTCTTAACAGTTATTCCTTTTAGAAAGCAAATATGCAGAAAACCTTACTGCACTGCACAATGTAATTGGCAGTAAGTTTTTTTTGTAATGAATAAGAACAGTGGGACAATGTCAACATGGAAAAAACAAAACAAACCAACAAACACAAAGAAAAACAAGCAAACTCTCTTCTTAGCTAGCAATTAGAGAAAAATGGAGAGTGACTGAGAGCAAGAACGTTAAATACTAAGAGCTAAGCAATGGCAAAGAGCAGGCACTCACCATTAGGAACCTCAGTAACACACAAAAAAAACGACTTTTTAATGTCATGCTTGAAGTCTGACATACATTGATAAGAAAGTTTTATGGAAGATAGAAGCAAAAGACTAGGTTGAACAAAATAAAGGCATTCACTCCATTTTCCTTTTTGTATTTATATTTAAATGTATTTAAGTTAGATTAAAATTTACTATTGCAGCCGGGCGGTGGTGGCGCACGCCTTTTATCCCAGCACTCGGGAGGCAGAGCCATGCGGATCGCTGTGAGTTCGAGGCCAGCCTGGGCTACCAAGTGAGCTCCAGGAAAGGTGCAAAACTACGCAGAGAAACCCTGTCTCGAAAAAACCAAAAAAAAAAAAAAAAATTTACTATTGCTATTATGTAGTTATTTCCTATAATTTGAGACACATCCTCATTTTAAAAAGAGAGGCTCCTAAGACTCAGGTGAAAGAAACAATTTTCAGGAAACTCCCCAAAGTTACAAAATTCAAAGGCCCTCCCAAGGTAATATGAGCTGTAATGGAGCACGCTGGGAGTTGGGGGGCAGGGAGACAGTTCTGTGAGTTTGTTACCAATGCAGGGGTGAGCTCTTCAGTGCTGTGGCTGCCTGTACACCACCCAGGCCCTGCAAATAACACATCTACTGGGGCTCCTATATGTAGCCCCCATAAACGCTAGGGCTCACTAAGCTATACACTGTAGTGACTTTGGTCATTGTCAGTGCTGTATCTAGTGTGGATGAAGTTTATTCATGTCTCACAATAGCTATTTATATGCATGTTCATATATATGAATTTTTAGGTAAATGTCTCCAAAATTCAATTCATGTAATTCTTTTAAATAGACTGCATAATTGGTTGTAGAAGCATATCATAGTTTTTTTAGAAGCATAATTTATCATCACAATGCTCAAGAAACAAGCAGTATTCCATTTCAAGCCCCAACCAGCTAAGGCAAGCCAGAAAGGTTCAGAATCTTGTTTACTTTACCTTCTTTTTTCTTACTGACAGTGACCCACTCTAAAGAAACATAGAAGCCACTTCCTTTCATGTCCAATTCCTCCTTCTCTATTCGAAGAAGAAGCATAGCTACTGAGTGCTCTTCACCTTCCAGCAATGAGATACTATGAATTATAATAAATGGATTCCCAAGTTCTTCATTAAACATAATCTATAGGGGGAAAAAATCACACATATTTTAAATGCATGGTTTATAAAAGAGAAATATGACCATCACCAAAGAAATAACAGGACATTCGAACAGAATGGACGGGGGAAGAGAACCATAAATGGAAAGGGGGATGCTTCACAAAGCACTCAGCACAGTCACGTAAATGGCTCCTCCATCTAATTTACACATGCCTTCTGGACTCTGCACACGTCTTACAAAGAACAAAAAACAACTCACTTCCCATTTTTCAGGACTATTTCCACGGTTGCCTGTTCCAATGACATATAATCTTCCAGTTCCGTCTGACAAGGTAACCCAGGTAGGGGATGTGAAATGGATAGAAGCACAAAGACGATTGTCATATGTTGTCAAATCTGTAGGGAGTCGGAACACCTCTCGAGGTTTTCCTAAGGCAGTGTCCTAAAACGAAAACAAGGATTATAAAAAAATCCTTCCTATTCCTGATGGATACACACACAAAATACCTACAGTACGGCTGATTCTTCTGTATTCAAAAGCTGCGTCAATTTCCCTTCCTTTGAGTATGAACGGTACTGATTTTAACAAATAAAACACAGTAGATGGGACAGGTGGCATGCAGCCTCTAGGATGAGATCACAAACATTTTACATCACCCTCTTTGCTCTTTCTTAGGTTACACACTGTAAGGTGGCTAGCAGTCAAGCTTGGTGAAGATAAGATAGTGAGTAAATGTAAAGACCCACATCGAGAGGAACCGGGGCTCCCAACAATAACAGCACCATGTTGAAATTGCATTCATTAGAGGTCCGTCGTCAACTTTCCCTTGAGAAATCATAAGGGAGACGGTCACTTTCACCAATTTGTGAATTCCTGACCACAAAGAGAGTGAGACAGTCATTGCCTACTGTTTCAAGTGACTGAGTTCTGTAACTGTTCTATCAAGAGAAGCTAGTGCAATACAGTAATCTAATTTCGTTCTTAGTTTTAGGGTTAATGATCAGTAGTGCTAATTTATTAACTACATACCATGTTATATTTTCAAATGCCTTTGTAGATAATATTCTATAGCAGTGTTTTTCAACCTTCCTAATGCTGTGACCTGTTAATACAGTTAATCATGTTGTGGTGACCCCCAACCATAAAATTATTTTCGTTGCTACTTCATAACTGTAATTTTGCTACTGTTATGAATCGCAATGTAAATATCTGTGGGTTTTGTTTTTGTTGTTGTTTTTTAATGGTCTTAAGTGACCCCTATGAAAGGATCGTCTAACTCCCAAAGGGGCTGTGACCCACAGGTTGGGAACCACTGTTCTATAGCAAAAAAAAAAAAGAAAAAAAAGAAAAAAAAAAACCTGAAAAACAAACCAACATACCTTTAACCCAGAACTCAGGAGGCAGAAACAGGAGGATCTCTGAGTTTGAGCCAGCATGATATACAGAGTGAGTTCCAGGACAGCTAGGGCTACACAGAGAAACCCTGTCTAGGGGGTGGTGGGGAGAGTGTTACATTTAGATACTACCAACTCAGATTTTTATTAACAAATTTTCAGTTGTGTCTGTCTTTATAATATAGAGCTATGATATGAAGAATCACCAAAATGTTTTATGAGAAAATACATTCAAAATTTACCATTTAGGAAACAAGTGCTCATAAACTAACAGACTATATTCATTTAAAAATTTTTTAACTATCAGAGTTCCCTACAGAAGGAAAGTAATCCTTAATTTATGCACTGTATTTGTTCGATTCTACAACTGTTTTAATCTATACTCTTTTAATTACAAGGTTTTGAAAATTTTAGTTATCTATGAAATCATATCTTTAATTTTTTACTCATGTTTTATAAATTTGGTAATGTTATATTACATAAGAAATAAAAAATAGCAAGCATAGCTACCAACAACTGTTGTAGAAACATCAAATCTGAGTATTAGCCATGTGGAACAGGATTACATCATGACAGTACTGAGATGCCTCAAATACAGTGCAGTACAGCCTCCATCAGTAAACACTTGGCTTATTGTGGTCTCCAGTCCTGACCTTTTAGAGGAAAGGACATCAGATAATCCAATCAGTTAGATGGAGGTCAGTGAGCAGAAATTTTGCCATAGGCTGATGTCCATGTCTATCTACATATAGAACACAACATGGTATTTCCACTAAAAGAAAACAGACTGGTCAACAGGTGATACTGGCATGCTTAATACTTCTGGGGAAAAAAATCAAACCTGACACATGCACAAAAATATTCAATATTCCAGATGGACTATTAATCTGAATGCTTTAGAGGAGAAGTTAAGTAACTGATAGAGGACTGTTTTAATAATTTTAGGGTAGTCAATGAGTGCCCATACAAAAATGCAAGATATAGGAACCAAAGACAACAAACACAGGACTGATGTCTGTATAAAAAATCACCTTGTCTTTAAAACTCCAAGAGTCCTCAAAGCCTGTTAAAAATGCTTTTAAAAGGTAAAATAATACTCTACCATTAGCAGAGAGAAAAAAAAATTAGACTTGCAATGCCAGCCTTGGCTGAGGTGCCCTGTTGGTAGACAAAATAAGTACAGACTTATTAAAAATGAAAAGAAATCAAATTTATTGGTGTTTTACATACCCTTTGATATAACTCAGCCTATAGGACTTTATATAGTATTTCAAATAATATAAAGCTCAAGTATAAAGAAAAAGACACTTAAGCCAGTAAAAACTGGGATGGAGTGTAACAGCAGCCCCGACACAGTGCAGCTGCCTTGGGAGCCTCGCGCAGGTCTTGGTTTGCCTACAAAAGTCCAATACTTACAGCATTCTTCGACTGAACACACATATCAGACAAACACGACGACGCCAATGGAGCAAGACAAAACAACATCACTCTATGAGGACTCCTATGCACAGAAGAACACATCAACACTACAAATCTGATTCTATAGTGCACTAGTGTGAGCCACTACATCTTCCTGACTAATGACAGCCGGAGTTCCATTCCAGTCTTCTTTCCTAGGTGAGACCTGACATACCCACACATCCACTGCCTTAAACCCTGCCCCTCCAAATCACCTAATGTGAGTCAGATACCTCACTACCACCAATGCTAAACCCTCCCAGATACCCTGTGGCTCTCCTTCACTTATGTTCTCCCTTACTGTAAGAAGTAACAAATCCAATTTGTTCAACAGTGTGACTGTTGTTTGCCTAGCAAGTGCTAGCAAGGAAATAGAACATCCACTCTAGGGAATCCCAAATACCAGTTAAATGTACTCAGATAGATTTGTATTGCTGACAAAAAAAATAATAATAATAAATTCAATGAGATACTAACAAAGAAAAAGACAAAATGACACAATGTGTTTAACATTCATTGTGAATTCATACATTCTGAAACAAATGTGAGGCATCAGCTCACAGTAAATTACAGACAGACACACAACAGTGCTTGGTATCAGGAAGGGAAATAAGACTGGAGTATGACTGGGGCCAAGGAGATGAGGGAGAAGGCAAATTTTCCTCCTTCGCTTCAAATATGTTGCTATTTTTGTCCTATTCCAAATAATTTGTGTAGCACAGATAATTTAAAAATATTAACAATACAGAGTAAAATAGAATTTCACAAAGCAGGTGTTTACTGCACGGCCCGTCAGACTTACTCTAGTGAACCATCATTAAGAAGGAGGACTGAACTAGGCAATCACTGTTCAATCATATACCAGTAAGTGTTTCAGGCCATTTTCTTTTCAATACATGGCTACACATGACTGAAGTTAATAGCAGTATAATTATCAGATAAATTGGTACAATATCTAATAGAATAATTAAGATGCCTGAGTATATAAATGTGAAACCAAAATTAACTAATTTAAAACACACAGTGTCTGCCTCATTTGAGTTAAATGATAAAACAAAAACAACCCAAATATTCCCAACTTAGAATTCAGTTCAGTTTGAAAGTGTCCTCATAATAATGCCTTATGAAAGTGACATCTCCAGTTCCAGGTTCCACCCATTTCCCCTTCCTCACAAAAAGTAAGGCAACCATATTCAAGGATATTGAAAAATTATTCTGAGGCAATAATTCTCTGTTGGTTTGCAGGACTGGAATTGTGTTGGCAAATTTACTACTCAATGAGGGACTACAGTATGAAGCAGTTCCAATTTTGGCCATCTCATTTAAACATCACCAAACCAATGAATCATTAACTCCAGTTTAAGAAGAGGTTCACATGGATAAATCTGACTGAAACTCCACTGCCATAGGCCAAGATTCCAATCCTGCTCAGTCCTGGGGATGGTTAGTATTTCTTTCCCTTATCATTATCTTCTAGAAAAGAAACCATTTTTCTAAACAAATACTTCAAATCCCAATGCAATTTCCAAATATCATCCCCTAAAACATTCACATTGACTGCAATTATCACATTAAGTTTTTCTTTAACCAAACATGATAGTTTTGGCTATACTGGCTCCTATACCAATAAGGTGTAATATAAGTCATAATGTTCATATATTACAGATGGATGGCATTATATAGGAATAGTCAATAAGCACTTAAATAGCACATATTTATCTAAATTAGATTTTGGGACCCTTGTAGGTGCAGCTGGAGATAGAGCTTTGAATGAATGAAGTTTTGTTTTTTAATACTTATACTCTAGAGGGAAACTCAAGGTTAAAAACATATTCAAGCAGAACTTAGGAGGGATGCCACCCACCAGTGCTCTTAGAACAGCATTTAAAACTTTGTTCCTTAAAAAGGAAGCAAAAAAAGCATCCATCACTGTTAAGAACTAACTTCATTTCTTAAGCTTTCTCCATTTCTATTCTTATAAAGCTTTAAGCATAGATGTTTATAATCAGTTTAGCTTCATTAATGTCTAAGTAAAATGAAGTATTTAATACTGCACTAAACATTTTTATTTTCAAAATTCACCCCTCTCTTTTATCTTCTTCTTTTACCTTAAATAACTAGGTCCCATTACCTAACTGAACTGTTAAAAATAAGCCAAGCTTCAGGCCTAGAATTAGCCTGCTGGCACCAAAGGATCTGGGCTGAAAAGTAGTTCTAACTTGTTTCTCTATGGCATGGCCACAGAATATATGTTTACAAGTGAAATCCAAGAACTACTGCCTACATTTTAAAGACACCAAAGAAGATGACATACTTGTTACTGGAGAACACAAGATAGCTTGTCAAGTAAAGGGAAGTCTATTATGACAGAAGTATTCTAAAGACAGAGAAACAACAAGTTTCCTTAAATTGTGCAGTAGCAGCAAATAAAATGTTTCTCCCTCCAGGCTTTTTCTATGCCCCAAGCACACTTGATCCTCATTGACATTTCTCAAAGCTTAAACATTGCAATCCTACAGTAACTTGCTTGGCGTGGGAGGCCTCTCTGTTATCACTATATTGAGTTGCTGCCATCTGCTGGCTCCTAAT